AATGACCATAAAAGTGTCAATTTTTGGGGGTTTCGGAGTTGAATAATTCATTGTCAATGTCAACCAATAAAATTGCGGTTTCATCTTTCAAATAACGGATAAATCCATACGATTATCAATAAATTACATCAAGAATTTATGTTTTTTTAATAATTTCATGAATTCTACAGTTAATGCAATTATAAAGAATAGATATGATTGAGAAAATCATAAAGAATTGAATTGTCAAACATTGTTTCAAATTGTGTCATTAGTAATAAGCCTATTTGATTAATCATGAAAACAAATCAAAACAAATATTAATAGTAATGAAAACAATTGAATTTGAGACAACTCGATTATTATCAACTATTTTTGTTTATTAAACATATATTGATCATCGATGTATAAAATTGTTGTAGAAAATCAATATTCTGAGTTGTGTTTTCTTTATGAAGTAATGACGAAGGACGCGTCTTAATGAGAATTAATTAATGACCATTAAAGTGTCAATTTTAGGGGGGTTTCGCAGTTGAATAATTCATTGTCAATGTCAACCAACAAAATTACTGTTGCATCTTTCAAATAACGGATAAATCCATACGATTATCAATAAATTACATCAAGAATTTATGTTTTTTTAAAATAATTTCATGAATTCTACAGTTAATGCAATTATAATGAATAGATTTGATTGAGAAAATCATAAAGAATTGAATTGACAAACATTGTTTCAATTGTGTCATTAGTAATAAGCCTATTTGATTAATCGTGAAAAAAAAAATCAAAACAAATATTAATAGTAATGAAAACAATTGAATTTGAGACAACTCGATTATTATCAACCATTTTTGTTTATTAAACATATATTGATCATTGATGCATAAAATTGTTGTGGAAAATCAATATTCTGAGTTGTGTTTTCTTTATGAAGTAATGACGAAGGACGCGCCTTAATGAGAATTAATTAATGACCATTAAAGTGTCAATTTTTGGGGGTTTCGGAGTTGAATAATTCATTGTCAATGTCAACCTACAAAATTACGGTTTCATCTTTCAAATAACGGATAAATCCATAAGATTACATCAGGAATTTATGTTTTTTTTTAATAATTTCATGAATTCTACAGTTAATGCAATTATAATGAATAGATTTGATTGAGAAAACCATAAAGAATTGAATTGACAAACATTGTTTCAATTGTGTCATTAGTAATAAGCCTATTTGATTAATTATAAAAAAAAACAAAATCTGAATGTTGAATCTCAAATATTCATAGTAATGAAAACAATTGAACTTGAGACAACAACAAATGAAAACAAATGTCATTGCTTACTCGATTATTATCAACTATTTTTGGAAAATCAATATTCTGAGTTGTGTTTTCTTTATGAAGTAATGACGAAGGACGCGCCTTAATGAGAATTAATTAATGACCATAAAAGTGTCAATTTCTGGGGGTTTCGGAGTTGAATAATTCATGATTCAAATTGAATCACGTCTTGTTTTTCAATTTAGTTTTCGAGAAGAAAAAAAATGTACGTTTGATCCTAATGGTTTGTTGATGCAGATGCAGGCAGTCTCCTCTATTTTACCTGCACCACATTTCCTTTCTCTGTGTTTTCTTTATCGCCAAAAGGGGGATAACGGGAACACGTGCAAATGTTGTCCATCCGCTTCTCGGAATTTCCCGTTTCCCCCAACGCCGCGCAGCTGAGAGGAAAAACGTTCCCTCTTCCTGAAATAATCTGAGCCCATCCCCAAAAAAAAGTCCACACAAATGCGCACATAGAAAGACAATTTGCTTGATTCTAATTTGATTACCTAAATAAGAGAATGCGACGGTGATCAGGCAGCAAACGTAAACAGTCCTCATCGACATGTTTCGGGCATTTCATTTAACAGTTAGTCCATTCGGCCCGAGGGGTTTTCCTTCTTCAGTTCAATACACCGGCGTTATTAATACGACTCCGAAAGGATCGAATGGGCACTGGAAACAAACTCACTCACACACACAACAAAGTAGTCGTGGGCGTCGCGACGCCCTCGCTTTGTTTTTGTTTCTTTCCGCACAAACACACACTCGATTTGCACTTATTGTTTTTGTTACATTCACACACCTCTGTTTGTTTTTCTTCTAATTATTATTATTTCTCGTATGTAAACACCAGCGATTGATGATGGTGATGATGATGGTAGTAGTTCTCTGCACTCTTCGGCAGGACCGTCACAACAACAAAAGACCCTTTTTTGACAGAAAGGCGCTTTTTGACAGTCTCCGCGGAGGTGCGACGAAGATGCCTTCGAGGAGGAGAGAGACAACGCGGAAAAGATCAATGAAGCTTCTGAGGGAGGGGGGTGCGGAGAGGTGCGAGCGGGTTACCCCCAGATGCGCCGGCTTTGTGAAAAAATCAAATTGCCGCTCACTTTGACGAAGCACGCACGAACATTGACGAATTTCCACGACGATTTTGAATTTCCCGCCAACGCTGTTGCATAAGTTGCATCAAGCATTCAGCTGAAACTACAGTTTTCGTACAAATTTCATGAAAATTTATAAATATTTATTAAAATTTGACAAAATTTCATGAAAATATAAAAATTTACAAAAATATTTCACTTTTAAAGAAGATTAGAGAAATTTTCATGAAAATCGTAATGAATTTAAATAGAAAATTGAAAGATTTGTCAAGAATTCTTACTAAAAATTGATGATTTTTGGGAAAATTTATTCATTAATTGTTAATAAATCAAGAATAATTGGTTGATTTTGGTTGATAATAATTTCATGAAATCTACAGTTAATCCAATTATAATGAATAGATTTGATTGATAAAACCATAAAGAATTGAATTGACAAACATTGTTTCAACTGTGTCATTAATAATAAGCCTGTTTGATTAATCATGGAAAAAAAATCAAAACAAATATTAATAGTAATGAAAACAATTGAATTTGAGACAACTCGATTATTATCAACTACTTTTGTTTATTAAACATATCTAATTCATTGTAATTTTTCAAAATTATTTAGTACAAATTTCATGAAAATATAAAAAATTACAAAAATATTTCACTTCTAAAGAAGATTAGAGAAATTTTCATGAAAATCGTAATGAATTTAAATAGAAAATTGAAAGATTTGTAACGAATTCTTACTAAAAATTGATGATTTTTGGGAAAATTTATTCATTAATTATTAATAAATCAAGAATAATTGGTTGATTTTGGTTGATAATTTAAATTAAAAAAAAGTTTTTTTTTTTTAATAATTTCATGAATTCTACAGTTAATGCAATTACAATGAATAGATTTGATTGAGAAAACCATAAAGAATTGAATTGACAAAC